TTTTTTTTAATCTATTTTATATATAGTAGCTAACATTTGCAAATCTCAAACTCTCAAATTTATGCCTTCTCACCCCCTTTCCCTGGCAGTATCCATAAGATTGTTTACTATGTCTGCAAATCTGTTTCTGTTTTGTAGATGAGTTCATTGGTGTTCTTTTTTTTAGAGTCCACATGTGAGTGATATCATATGGTATTGTTCTCTCTCTTTCTGGCTTACTTCACTTAGAATGACAATCTCTTGGTCCATCCATGTTGCTGCAAATGGCATTATTTTATTCTTTTTTATGGTGTAGTAGTATTCCATTGTATAAATATATCACAACTTCTTTATCCGGTCATCTGCTGATGGGCATTTAGATTGCTTCCATGTATTGGCTATTGTAAATAGTGCTGCTATGAACATTTGGGTGCATGTATCTTTTCAAATTAGAGTTCCCTCCGGATATACGATGCCCAGGAGTGGTATTGCTGGATTATATATTGTCCATTTTCAGTTTTTTGAAGAATCCCCATGCTGTTTTCCATAATAGCTGCACCAAACTACATTCCCACCAGCAGTGTAGGAGGGTTTCCTTTTCTCCACAGCCTCTCCAGCATTTATCATTCGTGGACTTTTGAAAGATGGCCTTTCTGACTGGTGTGAGGTGACACCTCAATGTCTTTTAGGTTTCAGTGTGTAGGTCTTTAACTGCCTTAGTTAAATTATTCCTAGGTATTTTATTCTTTTTGATGCAGTTGCAAATGAGATTGTTTTCTTAATTTTTCTTTCTGATAGTATATAGAAATGTAACAGATTTCTGTATATTGATTTTGTATTTTGTAAATTTACTGAATTTGTTTATGTTTTAACAGTTTTTTTGGTGGCGTCTTCAGGGTTTTCCATATATGATACCATGTCATCTCAAATAGTGACAATTTTACATTTTCCATTCTGATTTGGACGCCTTTTTTTTGTATAATGTCACAAGCATTTAAGAGTTTAATCAGCATGTAGTTTTTATCAGTATACAAAATAGTCTTAAATGGTCAGTGAGGTTGTTTCTGGAGTGACTATTATATCAGGAAAAGTATACTTCACCAAAAACAGAATCTCAACTTTCAAATGTTCTTTTCAGAGTTTCTGATTTTCAACTCAGTAGAGAAGAACAGCATTTAATTACTGCATCCCTTGCATATGGGATGTATGATAGACTATACCAGGTCATCAACTAGAACTTCAATATACAGAATAACAAGGCCAGTCCCTTCTTATACCACCAAAGAGCAGCATACAGGATAAGTACAAAACACAAAAGCATAATGATAGTTGTAAGCAATCGTGTTGTTTCAAACATTTTCTTCAGCTGCTTCATGGGTCCCATTACAAAGCATGTACTGGCTAAGGAAGCAATATTTCCAAGGGTATAAAACACTACAAAAAGCTTTTCGCCACCAGGAAGCCACAGCAATCCAGTTTCAAGGATGGAGAAGAAGATGCCACTTACGAATTATATGGCAAACCACTTCAGCCCGGTGTTGAAGCTGAGGGACGAGGCAGCCAGGACCTGCACAGTCAGGCCCTGCTCCTCGTCAGCCTGGCCATGCCGCAGCTTCTCCTTGGCCGTACTCCTGGGCTGCAGTGGTGGCCACTCACTTGCCTGCCCCGCCTGCCTGGATGCTTTTTATTTCCTTTTATTAGTGAATTGCTCTGACTAGGACTTCTAATAGTATGTTAAATAAAAGTGACAATATTGGACATCCTTGTCTTGTTCCTGATCTTTTCACTGTTCAGTATGATGTTAGCTGTGGGCTTGTCATATATGGCCTTTTTTATGTTGAAGTATGTTCCCTTTATACCCACTTTGTTGAGAGTTTTTATCATAAGTAGGTGTTGAATTTTGTCAAATGCTTTTTCCGTATCTATTGAAATGATGTGATTTTTATCCTTCATTTTGTTAATGTGGATCACATTAACACACTGAGTGATTTGTGGATGTTGAAGCATCCTTGCATTGCTGGAATAAATGCTGCTTGATCATGGTGTATGATCTTTTTAATGAATTGTTGGATTCAGGCTGCTAATATTTTATGGAGGATTTTTGCACCTATGTTCATTAGGGATTTTGGTCTGTAATTTTCTTTTCTTGTGGTGTCCTTGTCTGGTTTTGGTATCAGGGTAATGCTGGCTTCATAAAATGTGTTTGGAAGTATTCCTTCCTCTCCTACTTTTTGAAAGGTTTTTAGAAGGGTTAGTATTAATTCTTCTTTAATGTTGAAGCCATTTAAATGGCTGATAAATTCTCCTTTGAATGTTGAAGCCACTTTAAAAATGAAGCCATCAGATCCTGAATTTTTGTTTGTTGAGAGGTTTTTGATTCCTGATTCAGTCTCCTTACTAGTAATAGTTTGTTCAGATTTTCTATTTCCTCATGATTCATTCTTGGTAGATTGTATGTTTCTAGGCATTTATCCATTTCTTCTAGGTTGTCTAATTTGTTGATGTATAATTATTCATAGCAGTCTCTTATGGTTCTTTGTATTTCTGTGTTATCCATTCTGTTTCCTCTTTCCTTTCTGATTTCATTTATTTGCATCCTCTCTTGTTTTTTCTTGGGAAGTCTAGCTAAAGCTTGTCTATTTTGTTTATCTTTTTAAAAAAACAGATCTTAGTTTCATTGATCTTTTCTATTGCCCTCTTAGTCTCTGTTTCATTCATTTCTGCTCTGATCTTTGCTATTTCCTTCCTTCTACTAACTTTGGGCTTCATTTACTTTTCTTTTCCTAGTTCCTTGAGGTGTAAACTTAGGTTGTTTATTTGAGGTCTTTCTTGTTTTTTGATGCTGACATTTATTGTTGTGAACTTCCTTCTTAGAACTGCTTTTCCTGCATCTCATAAGTTTTCATATGTTATATTTCCATTTTCACTTGTCTTAAGGTACTTTTTATTTCTCTTTTGATTTCTTCTTTGACACATTGGTTGTTCAGTAGCATATTATGTAATCGCCACATTGTTCTTACTACTTCTATTCAATATTGTACTGAAAGATCTAGTCAGGGCAATTAGCAGGAAAAGAAATAAAAGGCATCCAAAGTGAAAAGGAAGATAATATTCCGATGACTATCTTGTGTACAGAAAAGCCTAAGGAATCTACTAAAATTTTGTTAGAACTAATAAATGAGTTCAGCAAAGTTGCAGGATAAAAGATCAATATAAAAAATCAATTGTATTTATATACATTATCAATGAATAATCTGAAAATAAAATTAAGAAAAAATTCCATTTACAGTAGCATCGAAAAGAATAAAATACTTAGGAATAAATTAAACAAAAGACTTGTGCTCTGAAAACTATGAAACATTGTTGAAAGAAAGAAGACCCAAATAAGTGGAATAAGTGGAAAGACATTCAAGCTCATTGATCAGAAAATTTTAAACATAATTTTGTTGAGATGGCAATACTCCTAAAATTAATTTACAGAGTCAACAAAAGTCTTAGCAAAATTCCGCGTGCCATTTCTTGAAGAAATTGACAAAATGAACCTAAAATTCATATGGAAATACAAGAGATCCAGAATATTTGAAAAGATCTTGAAAAAGAACAAAGTTGAAGGATATTCAAAATTTACCATAAAACTATAGTAATAAAAACAGTGTGTTACTGGCATAGTTCAGTGCAATAGAATTGATAGTCTAGAAATAAACACTGCAATTATGGCCAACTGATTTTTGACAAGGGTGCAAAGATGATTTAATGTAGGAAAGAATAGTCTTTTTCAACAAATGGTGTATATCCACATACCAAATGGACCCCTTTCTTATACCATACACAAAAATTAACTAAAAATGGATCATAGAACTAAACATATGAGCTAAGACAAAACTCTTAGAAGAATATATAGGAGTAAATTTTTGTGACCTTGGTTTAAGCAAAGCCTTTTTACATATAATTTCAAAAGTACAAGCAATAAAAGGAAAAAGTAGATAAAATGGACTTTATCAAAATGTAGAACTTCTGGGCTACAAATTGTATCATCAAGAAAGTAAAAAATCAACCCACAAAATGAGAGAAAATGTTTACAAATCATATGTCTGATAAAGGATTTGCATCCAGAATACACAAAGACATCTTATGACTCAATAATAAAAAGACAAATACCCAATTTAAAAGGGGACAAAGGATTTGAATAAACATTTCTCCAGAGCAATTATTTAATGGCCAATAAGCACATAAAAGATGCTCAACATCATTAGCCATCAGGAAATGCAAATCGAAACCACAATGAGATACCACTTCACACCCACTAGAGTCAATAATCAAACAGATAATGACAAGTCTCGACAAGGATGTGGAGAAATTGAAACCTTAATACACTGCTGGTGGGAATGTGAAATAGTGTAGCTGTTTTGGAAATCAGTTTGTCATAAAATTGCTATGTAACCTAGGAATTCCTCTTCTAGATGTATATTCAAGAGAAATGAAAACATGTTGCCACAAAAACTTGTACATAAGTGTTCATACCAGAATTATTCATAATAGCCAAAAAGTGGAAACAACCCAAATGGTCATCAATTAACAACTGGATAAATAAAATATATGATATCCACAAAATGGAATATTATTCAGCAATAAAAAAGGAATGAAATACAGATGCATGCTACAAATGGATAAACATTAATAAGTGCAATCCAGTCATAGAAGAACTCATATCGTATGATTCCATTTATATGAATTGTCCAGAATAGGCAAATCTATAGAAATAGAAAGCAGACTGATGGTTGCCTAGAGCTGCAGGGGAAGGATGTGGGATTGCTAATGGCTATGGGGTTTCTTTTTGGAGTGATGAAAATGTTCTAAAATTGATTTTGGGGCTGACTGCAGAACTCTGTGAACATATTTTTAAAAGTGTTTAAATGGTTGAATTGTATAGTATGTGAATTATATCTCGATAAAACTGTTTCAACAAGAACAACAGAATGAATGATCAGAGTATTTCAAGCAGAGGGATCTGAAGAGGCAGAAAGATATGGGCCGTCAACCCACGTAGTTTGGAATGGCAGAAGTCACAAAAAGAATCAGAAATAAACAAGATGATGCTGGAGAGATGGGCTAGAGCTAAATCCGAAATGGCTATGAATGTCATCCTCAGGTTTTGGATTTAATCCTAAGGAAGAGGAACCTGTTGAAGGACTTACACGGAGAACAGAGATAACCAGATTTGTCTGGTATAAAAATATATCTGGTCTCTCTGGAGAGAATAGGTTGGATAGGGCCTGGAGACTGGGTTATTTTGCAGTAACCAGACAAGTGTATATCAGAGAGACATTTAGGAGAAAGAATCAATAGGACATTTCTTAGAAGTAACTTGACCTGACCCCAGATTAGCAGCAGGCACTTTTTCACCTTTTGTAGTACAGATAGAGTGACACTCCTTTTATAGGGCCTAATTAATTATTCACATTTTCATGCCCTCACACATTCACTTTAGAATAATACTCTACACATTGATCTGTGAACAAGATCCAACGTTCTTTCTAGTGCTGACTTTCTTGGTGGCATGAGGCCAGCTCTTCATATGCCTGAATTTCAAACTTCACCATCTAGAAATATATAATGCTAATACCTGGATGTAATGTCCGGGCTTCTGAAACTAAAAGATTACAGCTTTTCCTAAGGTGAATTAGGAAAAAGAAATGACAGAATCAGTGCTAGAAATTAGGTAGCTAAGCAGTCATTTAAAAATAACTATCCTCAAGTATATAGAGGCCTTTACACAAAAAAGATGGGCTTTTCAAAATTCTTACCCTGAGAACAAAATAAGAAGAAGAAAAAAAAAGGCTTAAACCCAACCACGTAGTCCTATATAGAATAACTCCTGTTATGGAAGATTATTTAACAGTGGAATGGATAACCAAAGCCAGTTGGGCAACTCTTGCTCTGGTCTTTGAGGATAGTTTTTTATGTCTCTGGGAAGGCTTTGCTAAGGCCCTGTCCATCAGGAGTGGCGCCAGCAGCTCCTGGCAAGGACAGGAGAGAACTTTAGTGAAGGAATGCCCAGAATCTTCCTTTCCCCTTGCTTTCATTGCTCACAGTGTTCTCTAAAGAAAGTTCAGTTAGTTCTGACAGTCCCTTTAAGTAAAGGGGCTCTGACTACATTTCTGTGTGTAAACAAGGCACCAAACTCTGTGCTCACAAGTAGATGCCCTTAAGATACCTACCTTCCACGTTGGAGACAAAGCCCAGACTCCTCTTAAGATCAGAGCAGATTGAGTGTAGACACCATCGGAATTTTGCATCACAGCGATACTTGTTGGCACCGCAAGTGTCATAACAGACATCCAGCTGGTTGCAGCACTTGGTCATTGCTGGAATGCCCAAGTCCATCTGGGGAAAAGAGAAGGAAGAAAATGCCATGTTTAGACCAAGGGCCTTAGGCACCCTTGCCCACCTTGTTCTCAAATTCCTGTTAACAGATTCAGATCAATTCAGTAGCACCAAAGTGACTGGAAAGAATATGTCAGGTTGACAGTGACAGGACACTAAGTTTCAGTCATGATCTAGTTACTGGATTAATAACCTTGCATAGCCTTTTTTTCCTTTCAGATTTTAGTGATTTTCACTTTCACAGGCCACTACGGTGCTAAAAATAGAAATCAGAAAGTTAGTCAAGAGGGCAGAGCTTCGGGACTTCCAAATTCAACTCAAACCTATGCTATGTGAGATTTTGTTTGAGCAAAGGATTCCAAGGCTCAGAAGTATGAAAAATTAAGCCCTAGTTCACAAAGAGGTCACCAGCAATTATCAGGGAACCATCCCATGCAGCACCTTTTTAAGGAGCAGAGTAGGGTACAGAACGTAGTTCCTGACCACAAGTGACAGTATCTAACACACACACGCGCGCACACACACATTTATTAAGTGTCCTATAAACAATTATATATGTGCCACAAACTAAGTTCATAGAATGCCACACATAGAGTTATCAAACAGGAGTTTTTTGAGAGGATTAATAAAGATGATGGTAGACTTGGTATACAGCAAGTAAAGAAAGAAAATAATGAGCAAATCATATGTGAGCAAGTCAATTAGTTTAGTCTTCCAAGAGTCTTAGCAGGGTAATATATTGTATATGTAGTCTATTATGTAAGTATTTACATATGTATATATATATTTTTAAGTTAGAAGGGCAAGTTGATAGATGACCTTGACTTCCAAAATAACAAGTTAATTTGACAAACTCTTCAGCAAGGAAGGAAAAAGATACAGCCAGTGATTAAAGAAGAGAAATCAATCTATGGTTTGTAAGTAGATGTCAACAGGGTGAGTCTAGATGTGAATCTCTTGCAAGTTCTTCTGATAACATAGACTTGGACTTAGACGGAAGCTGGTGTCAGGGTACGGGTGGGGATTGATTACTGAGCTATCATAGACCCTTTCCTCTTGGGTCTCCTTAAGTGTTCTCTTATTTGAACTTTTACTCCAAGGCCACCTAAAGCAGAATGTGGACTTTCGCAGTTTAAAATGCCCTTTTAAGCAAAACCCCAAACAAAACATTATTATATTAAGAGATAATCTAACTCATTAGACCAGGCAAAGGCCTAGACTCAGTAGTTCTGGGTAAATTTTCATCATCTGATGCCAGAAGCAAGCCACTTTGCTTGTACTTCAGCCCGAAAACTAAAACTGTATCACACCAGAGGCAACGGAATGAGATGAGTATAGTGGCTATCATTCAGCTAAATTGGAAATTCTTGAACTAGTTCTAAATACTATTTGTACCAGTAAACAAAATGGCATGACTCTCAAAATAGAGTGCAGACCTATTCCATAGCTACTGAATTGATAACAAGTAAACAATTGTAGCCAAAAATACGTAGTTTCTCTAATATAAATACGTATTTGAAAGTACTGTCTTCTGTGTCCTTACACATCCTGATGATTGTGGACAAGGCTGGGTGTTCAGCTGTGCAGGTTGTCCAGTAAACAAGAGCGTCCCATCTCTGGGGGCACCTTCCCACAAGACATCATAGATTTACACATTTATTAGGAAAAATGTCTAGCCAATGGCAGTCAAGTTTCCTTTTCTTGCAAAATCAGTATACTAAGCTTAGTTTCTGACAGATGGACGAAAACTGTCTTGCAGAAAGGGAATTTTTTTCCAATTTGCACAAGCATGCCACATGGGTGAGTAGCATTTTATTGAGAAGAATAAATTAAACATGATGCTGCTTGGGAAATTATTACAAAAATCTTTGAATCAGCAGAAAAGCGAAGTTTAGCCTGATTAAGACACAAACTAAAAGATAGATCTGAACTACAGTTCTCATTGAGATATGAAATCCTTCTACCTACATTTTATATGAAACCTCTTTTCTAAAGTGAAAAAGGTAAAAGGGCTTCCAAGGGGTCTTAAAAGAAAGTAATTATTATTCCTTGTTTTTAGAGGAGGCCAACAGTTTGAGACATGGTCAGTGACATATGATAAATGTCTAGCCAGCAGCTAGTTGTCTATGGTGGGGGTGTGAGCGGGCGGGTGGGTTTTTGCAGATTTCTATGCTGTTAACACTGCTGACATAGTCGATTTGACGGTTCCGACATGAAATCTGCCGCTTGCAAAACTCCTGACTATAGAACAACCAGCTCTCACTGGTCAGTTCCAGCTTTGCTCCAGCACATCACTGAACAGTCTCAGCAATTTAAATGTCACACTTGTCAGAACTACTTCAAATCAAGTTAGGTCTGACCCCCTCAGGCTCAGCTGATATTGGCAGTGGTGACTTCAAAGTTGACTATGCATCGGCTTATCTGAGGGAGAGCTGCCTCTGAGAAAAGGAAATCAGAGACTTTGAAAATTACCTCCCTTTCTCTGTAGCCAATTAAAAATACTAGTTGTATTGCTCAACTATTCCATAAGTGATGACTTCCACCATCAGTGATAACTCTTGGGTTAGTCTTTGTTAACACCAATCAAGTAAGAAGATAATGGCAGTGTACATACACTTCCTGGTACCTTGAGACCCAGGAAATAGGAGCTGCAGCCGTTGGGTTCCTGAGGCTTGTAGCCAGGTCTGGGCATTGGTGCCTTTCCTAGCAGGAGACAGAGAGGAAAGAAGCAGGAAGAAATGTTTAGAAATTAAGCATTTGGAAACATTAATCAAATAAAAATGATCTAAAAGCATCTTCAGTTTTTCCTTTAAAAGTTGTTGCTCCTTGTGGGGAGGGAATAGCCCAGTGGTAGAACATATGCTTAGCATGTATGAGGTCCTGGGTTCAATCCCCAGTACCTCCATTTTAAAAAAATAATAATAAAATAAATAAATAAGCCTAATTCCCCCCCCCCCAATTCCTTGCTAGCTATTCACATCCAAATTAGATGGTGGTGGTGATGATGATGTCATCAAAGAGTAATAACCTTCAGACCAGGTTGGCATTTTTCTCCTCATTTTGAAGAATTTTATGGGCATTTATTTACTGACACTTCTAACGTTTCTTAAGTGCATGACCTTGAAGATCCATGGCAAAACCAGACAAAACCCAAGGTTTCTTCCTCCACCATCCACTGTAAGACCACATACTGTGCACAGAAAAAGAACACCAGCTGATCGTACACTTAAGGAGTCAGAATTTAAATGAAACCACAAGCTTTTTTCAGAATAACTTGAAGGAAATTTTGCAAGATTCCACAAATGTAGACAAAGCATTATTTACCAAAGGGCAAAGAAAACACCCCTCTGCAGTATTTGAAGCATTTGTGTTATAGAACTAAGCCAAAACTATCTGAAAAGCTTTGGATTTCTTGGTTTCTCCTACATGGCTTTGAGTTATTTTATAATCTTACCACTAAGTATAGAGAAGCTTTGTCAGTGTATCAAGGGTAGTCGTTGTAGGTAAAGATAACCTTGACCTGAGATGATCTCAGGACAGCCTTCCTTAGTGAGGATTTTTTATCCCATTATCCAGATAAGGAAAATGGGGCTCAGAGGTTTCATGATGTGCCTGACTCATATAGAAAGGAGGGGAATTCGGATATAAATCCAGATTTCCTCTTTGTCTCCAATGCGTGTGTTCTTTCCCCGTGTTCCTCTGCCTCTTGTAAGAGATGAAAGACATAGAAAAAGACTGAGGAGATAAGCTAAGAATGAATCCTTTGAGTGAAACACATGGCATTTCTTCTTTCTTTTCTTTAATCTCCTCCTACCAAGTATGTTATTTTTAATTATTTTATATTATGAAATATTTCAAAACTGAAGTCAGAGAGAGAAACACCCATGTACCCACTACACAAACATAATAACGTTGCCAAACTTGCTGTAAATATTTTTTTCTGTTTAATTAAATGTTACAAGTACAGTTGAAGCCCCTTTGCATCCCATCTTTCTCTTTTAATTTTTAGATACTAAGTCTATGCTTTAAAGCCCTCGCTCCTTGTTATTCCTAAACTTGTCTTGATTATTCTTATGTCTGTTACTCTTGCATGTGTATTTTAGAATCAATTTAGCACATTCTACAAGGGATATCAACTAGGATTTTTATTGAAAATATGTTGAATTTATAGATTCATTTGGAGACAACTGACTTTCTTAGACTGAATTCCCAAACATAAGCATAGTATAGCTTTCCATTTATTTAGGTCTTCCTTTGTGTCCTTCAATAGAATGTTATAATTTTCTCTGTATATTATATCTCATACATACTGTATTATTCAGTTGCTTAAACAAGATAGGATATCTCATCAAGATCCAGAATTAAGGCTCATAAGGTTAGAATGATAAATTTGCCCTTTTCTAGAACCCAGGCTGCTTCTGGGTTTCTGCTCTACCAGTGCTAGAATGTAGCCCTGGCTCTCATGGTCTAAGATGGAGTTTCAGCCAATACATCCACATTATAAGCAGCAGGATGGAAGAAGGAGGTAGCAGGATCAGAGCTCCTCTCTTTAATAAATACACTGCAAAATGTTACAGATATCACTTCCTCTCACTTCCCTTGGCCAGACCTTAATAAGCAACACCACCAATGGCAAAGGTGGGCTTGGAAATGAAGCTTTTCTTCAATGGAGGCAGCCATGAGCCTAGCTTGAAGTTGGGGGAGGGTTTATTAATGTAGAAAGTGGAAGGATACTAGGAGACAATACGCAGTCTCCGCCATAGTCTGTTTGGGCTGTGATACAACATGTGTATAAGATGGTAGTTCAAGATGGCCCCCAGGGTTGCCCATCTCCGGGTTTTAATACCCAAGTGTGTTGTCCCAGGGTTGGTCTATGTGGCCAACAGAATATGGCAGAAGTGGAGGTATGCTGCTTCCAAGATTGTTATAAAAGACTAGAACTTGTGTCATGGAAAAGCCCATGTAGTAAGGAGCTAAAGACTCCTGCTAACAGCCACATGAGTTTGGAAGGAGATCTCCAGCTTCAGTCAAATCTTCAGAGACTGTGGTATCAACAGGCAGCATAACTACAACCTTATGAGAAACTTAGAGCCAGAAGTCCCCAGCAGAGCTGCTCAAGGGTTCCTGCCCCTCAGACACTGTGTGATACAATACATGTTTGTTATTGTCAGCTGATAAGTGTGAGGGGTCACTTGTTACTCAACAATACATAATGATTGCAGTTGCCGTGATGATTTGGATCTCTTTTTCGTTACATTTTTTTTTCTATGACAGCTTCATTGAGATATAATTCACATATTATACAGTAACTTACTTAATGTGTGTAATTCAGCATGTTATAGCATATTCATAGAGTTGTGAGACCACCACACAATCTAATCTTAGAACAATTTTATCATCCCAGAAAGAAACCCCAGACCCATTAGCAGTCACTCTCCATCTTTCAGGGTTCATCTACATTGTAGCAGGTATCAGTACTTCGTTCCTTTTTATGGCTGAGTAACATTCCATTCTCCAGATTTACCACAGTTTGTTTATTCATCCACCATAGTTGGACATTGTGGTTTCCATCTTTTGGCTATTGTGAAGACTGCTTCTATGAACAACTGTGTACAAGTATTTGAATATTTTCAGTTCTTTGGAGCATATATACATAAGGAGTGGAATTACTGGGTCATATAGTAATTCTGTTTATCTTTTGGAGGAACTATCAGCCTGCTTTCTTGAGCAGCTGAATTATTTTGCATTGCCACCAGCAATGCACAGGATTCCAATTTCTTCAATGCTCACAGTTTCACCACAATGTATCTAGATGTGGTCTGTATATTCATATCCCACTTGGAACAATCTGAAGACTTGGGTGTCTTTTACCTCTGGAGAATTCACAGCCCTTGCCTAGTTTTTTAATATTCCTCATTCTCTGTAATTTCTCCTTCTGGGACTCTTGTTACTGAATGTTGAATCTTTTAAATCCTGTCTTCCATAGATCTTAATCTCTTTTATATTTTCTATCTTTTTCTCTCTTTGTACTGAATTTTTACTAGCTTCATCAAAGCTGTTTTTCAATTTATTAACTATCTCTAGGTTGACTGACTGCTAGGTTATCTGCTATGTAACTCATTCATTGAGTGTTTTCTTTTGATGACTATCATTTTCATTTCTTGGATTTCTATTTAAATCGTGTTTTAAATCTGTGTATTCATTTTCATTGGGTTCTGGGTCTGTTTGGTTTTTTTTAATGTTTTTTATTCCTTCCTTTATTTCTTTAATACCTTCAAATGTTGTTGTTGTATTATTTTATTATCTCTAGTCCTTGGGATGCCCTTTCATTTTTTTTAACATCTACTGGCTCTTCCTCAGGGTGGATTATTTTTCCACATGATATGTAATTGTTTGTAGAAGGGCTTGTTTATTTCCTGTGCCCTGGGTCACATACTGTAGAATAGTCCCTAATTCCTTCTGCTGAGGCTCTAGGAGTCCCAAGATAACTGAGACACGGGTATTTCTGTTAATTTCTGAGCCTGGGTTCCTCACACCACCCTGGCTGTACAGATTCAGATTCTTCATCTGTGCAAAGAATATGCTTCAGGTAGTGATATTTTTAGTGGGTGTTCTTTATTCTTCCCCCAAGCTCCAGCTCTAGCCCCAGTGGGAGAGAAAGCATCCTTGCTACTTCTTGAAATACTAGATTTTCTATTCCCGTTTAGATGGCTCCTCAGGCTCTAAGCTTCATGCAGACTGTTCTGTTCCAACTTCCCAATTTTTACAGGTGAAAGTTAAGCCTCCTCTGTGTGTGTGAGCATTGAAACCCATTCTTTAGCCCCTGAAGTCTAGATATGTTCTAGCCCAAGGCCCCCAACTTCTGCTACCACTTTGGCTCTGTGCTTCCTCTTCACTTCTGGAACTTGAAGGTTTCCCTTTACTTCATTCTGGCTTGAGTGTGTGGTTTTTGTTTTACATTTTACTTCCACTCAACCTTTCCTTTCTTTTCTTTTTTCAAATATTTTAGTTTCTTGTGTGTGTGTGGGGGGGGGGTGTAATTAGGTTCATTAATTTAATTATTTATATAGTAATGTAGATACTGGGGATTGAGCCCAGGACCTCAGACATGCCAAGCATGCGCTTTACCACTTGAGCTATACCCACCCTCCCACTCAGCCTTTCTTGTTATTTGTAATGGAGAAGTACTGTACTTGACAGAGTCTGCCAGCCCACCAGTAATCCCTGCATTACTTTTCAAGAGTCTTGGAAATATAACTTAGCATTGCTACTCTACCAACCTGTTGTGTGTGTGTAGACCTGGGAGTGGGGGAATAAGTAAAGTGTGTTATGTAATATTAGTAATCAAATTGCACATAGGAAAATAATCACACTTTGCCATACAATTAAATGTGTATGGTCTCTTGGAGGTGAGATTATGGTGATTTTATTTACTTTTTTTTTGGATTTTTCTTTTACAAGTGTTCTATCTATATTAGCTTTATAGAAATCAGGGGTAAATTTTTCAATGAAGAAACAAATGTCTAAATTCGATGGTGAAGCTTAACTCTTTAAGAACTCTCCTGATAAAGCACTTGTGATGCAGACTGACTGCAGTTTCCTGAGTTAGCCTCTGCCTTTCTTGCACTTGATAACTCACAGAAGATAAAACTGGTATCCCAGCTTGAAAAATAACGGAACACCAGCTACAGACACATTCTACCTGGCCGGCTATAGATACGGGCTATTTTAATAGTATTTAATATTTTAGGATAGCTGCGGAAATTCTTTTTAGCAATGAAGCTCGAAGTAAAAGTTCTAAGGAAAAAAGTGATGGTTTGAGTCTAGGCAGAAATCATGTATTATATCCTCACATTACAGTTTGAGTCGTTTTGAGTTATGTTGAGTCTTTTCAGTCTGATGTTTCAAGTCTCGGCATCAATAATGTCCGATGTCCACAAATTAATTTTATTTTTTGGTTTTGGCTGTCTATACGAGCTGATTCAGGGCTTGGCAAACACTGGCCCAAGTCCAGCCCATTTGCCTGTTCTCCGGATAACCTGCCGGAGAAAAATGTTTTTTATGCTTTTAAATGGTTCGGGGGGGAAAGTCAAGGCAAGAATAATATTTTGTACATGTGAAAATTATATGAAATTAAAATTTTAGAGCTCATAAGAAATAAGAAAGGCTTTTATTTTTAGCACAGCAATGCTCATTCATTATGTATTAGCTGTGATTGCTTTCACGGAAAAAAAGAGCCAAAGAATGTTGTTACCATCTTGATGTGAGGACGGTTTTTCAAGCAGGACCAAAAAATTCAGAAGCCATAGAATAGGCTTCTATGAATAGCAATAGAGTGGAATAGCCTTCATAGAAAAGAACTGACAGATTTGCTCTTATGAAAATTCAAACCTTCTGAATAAAGTTAAACATCATAAAACACTTAAAGGCAAATAAGGGAGATTTAGGAGGAAAGTTAGATGTGAAATCCGAGTTCTACCTGCAGGCATGTCCACTGCCCCCGAGCCCAGCCTTTTTTCTTTCTGTTTTGTCACCAGAAAAGAACAGTAAAAATCATCTGAGACTTCATTACTGAGGCGAAGGGTGAAGTCTTCCGGAGGGTGTGTCCCTTCTCCCCTCCCACCTGACGCCCGCAGAGGACACTGTGCTCCTCGAGAGGTCGACCCAGAGGTCAGAGTGCTGTATTTGAGGTGTATATCCTGCTTACTGGCAGAAATACTCAAATACAGCCTGAGGGACACACCAAGGGAAAAAAACAGAACTCTGACAATTTAACTGACGCAATAAACTCTATTTCAGTCGCTAAAACAGATTAAATTACTGCATGAGGTAAGGTGACTGATTTGTCCTGGTTTGCCTGGGACTGTCCCTCTTATAGTATTAAAAGTCCCCCCGTCCCAGGCAAACCCAGACAGCTCATCACCCTTCTCGAGAACAATCTTTGGCTCTAAGCCAGCAGCTGTTTTCTTTTTGGGGCTATGGATCTCCTAGGACTCTGATGAAGGCTGTAAATTCTTTCCCTGGAAAAATACGCAAACTCACAGGTTCATAAAATTTTGCTCTAAGATTTCAGAAGATAAAAAGTTCTCTTGAAAATAAGAAGACTGATATTTAAGGATACCTTTTTTCCTAGAACTAAACCCAAGAAGAAATTTGTCATGAGGTCTTTTTATCAAAGTGTGACAGGGTGGCTGGTATCTTAAATCATGATTTACAAGACAGAAACTCTGCTCTGGAGACCTTCATGAAGGCGCAGAACACTTAAATCATCATTTGATGACTTATTCCAGAAGCTGAGAGGGTGTTGTCCAGCCACTGGGATTTCTGTGTTTGTAAATTTTATATTGAAAGAGAATCTGAAGAATCTGAATGCATATTAACCTGTTTACCAGACTGCCTTTCTCATAACATTTATAAAATCTGTTTGGTATCTGCCATGCTCCATAATTCTTTATATATATTATCTTTAATTCTTACAACAACCTTGCTAGGTCGGTGTTATTAACATTAGTTATAAACATGAGGAAACAAAGGTTGAGAGACTTAGGTAACTGGCCCAAGGTCATCGGCAGTGGGACTCCCCAGCAAACCCTAGTTCAAACCCCTGATTTTTCCATTACTAGTATTTCTCAAAGTCTGGTTCAAGGACCACATATTGCAGTTCCTACTGAAGACCTACTGCATCAGAATCCCTGAGCTGGGAGAGGAAATCTTGTTTACATTAGTACAGACCCCTTATACCTGTTGTACCACGTATGCTATTAATCCAGCATCTTGTTATATTTACAGCTGGATCCTTTGGCAAGTCCAGATTTATGTGTGTTGACATGAAAATGAATTGTCGATACAAGAAGTGTGGGAAGCAATGCTGACAGTATTGTAGACTACCAGGACACAAACACATCTTTGTCTCCAAGAATGAGCCCTTAAATCGTGCTCCACAGCTTGGCTGCACTTTGCAATCACCTGGGAAATGTTAACATTCCTGGCGCCTGAATTCAACCCACGGAGATTCTCATTTAATTGATTTGGTCGTCAGGAGTTTTTGAAGACCCCTAGGTGATTCTAAGTGCAGGGCGAGGTAGGAACCACTGTTTGGAGTAGAGGTAAGTACCTA